TGCATCTGTTTTAACATTTGCGATCTCTGCTCCATCATAAGAGTCTTCTCATACGTGAACGCTGAAATATCATTTTCAAACTGCAAAAATAAGTTTGTCATCATTAAAAGGAGAAAAATCTCATTTGCAAAAAAATCCCTGTCATTTGGCTAACATACTGGGGTTTGCTTTCATTTGTGGTAATTTATATTCTAACACAGGACATCTGTTTTAACATTTGCGATCTCTGCTCCATCATAAGAGTCTTCTCATACGTGAACGCTGAAATATCATTTTCAAACTGCAAAAATAAGTTTGTCATCATTAAAAGGAGAAAAATCTCATTTGCAAAAAAATCCCTGTCATTTGGCTAACATACTGGGGTTTGCTTTCATTTGTGGTAATTTATATTCTAACACAGGAGTGGGCATTAAAATAGGGGCAGCTCACCAGGGTTAGCCCTTGGCGACCAATGTCACTATATCTGCCTGCGCTTCTGCTAGTATGGGTGATTGCAGCGCCCATTGGCTACAGATCTCCTCTTCCCAGCCAATGGGATCTGCGGGAAGTAGCATGGACCAGGACACTGCTTCCTGCGGCTCCCATTGGTCAGGAATGGTGATCTGTGGCAACAGAAGTTGCAAGCACACATACCTGTGAAGACACAAGCAAATATAGCCATTGGGGAACCAGATGCGGCCTGTGGGCTGGTATTTGCCCACCACTCTTCTAATAGTATTTCCGAGTCTAAATATCTTGTTTTCAGTGCTTTTGAATCCTAATTTTCAAGTCTATACAGGGTAAAGAGACAACAATGCAATAAAGAATAAGCCTTGAGGGGTTGAACAAAAATGAAATGTAACTATATAACAAAATAGAGAGAAGATTCCTAATGAAAACAAACTAAACAAACATATCTATTTAAAATATGCAAATATTGTTAGGTTATCATGGATAGAAAAGGTAGCAACCTTAATCAAATTGAAAGTACATTAGTATCAAAGAATATCAGAAATAGCTAAACACACAAAAGTGACAACAGGCATTTTGGCAAATAAGGAGCACAAAGAAGTTTTAAAATGGTAATATTTTGCAAATATGTAGTTATGTGGTGGTTCTAAAGAACTCAAGAGGCAAATCACTACTCACAATGAATCTTCGAAAGAAATGGCTTTAACATGATTATGAAAGGACCACCTGACTTAAGACTGAAATTAATAAATGCCAGAAAACAGCAATTTCTTCTTCATTATTGTAAATACATTTCTAAATCTGAAAAATTCACTAAAAACTCAAAACACGATGGAGTACCCTTTCAAAAGACAGGAGTAAAAAGACTTTACAAAACATAGACATTTAAGAAGAAAGATTACCCTATCTAAACTCTCCCATCCAGTTCAATATTCTTGGAAGCTCTATATTGTAAAGATACATCAATGACAGAGCCCTCCATGTTTTTATTGAGGTTTACTTAAAAACAGCCTCTCCTCTTTACTTCTTGAAGTTTGTCGGTATCAAACATGCTAAAAAATACTGACTTCTGGTAACAATAGCTTAGTTTTTTCTATCCACCTAAATGTTCAATTAAAACTAATTTAAAAAAAAGACTTTTCTTCTACCATACCCATATGGCCACCAACATGCTGTGACATAGTGACCATTTGGCAGCAGCTGGCAAAGGGTCAAAGCTGACAAAGGGTTTATTATTTTGTGTCAGCAACTCCTATCAGACATCATGGTCTCACTACATCCGTGGTTCTCAAACGTTTTTGCCTGCAGCCTACTCTGTACAATGCAAACCTTTCTGTGGGCCATCAGCCAACTGTCCATGATGAAAAAAAGTGTCTTTGCTTATCTCTAAATACCTTAAATACTAAATTATTCATATTAGGCTAGTGGAGCATAAAAACTTAAATATGCAGCTGCAATGTAAAGTGGTGTTTATAACTGGTAAGAAAGGAAATATTATTTATCAAAATCAAAATAATTAAACAGATTAAGCACTTTAACTTTATCATGTTAGTTTACCAAACTTCATTTTAAATAAAGTAAAATATTAATTTACATCCAAAACAAACGGTTTCAACACTGTCTTTATGTATGGCAGGGGTGGGGTGCCTCTTTTGGATCAGGGGCCACTGATCCATAGACAAATCAGTTGGGAGCCACAGAAAAATCAGTTGGGAGCCACAGAAAAGCGAGAGACAATCCCTCCCAAAAAACCCAACCCTCACAGATGTGGCCTCCAACTGAGGCACCTTACTCTCCAGGCACTCCCGCCCCATGGGGGGAGGAGGGGAAAGGAGAACCTAAGTCCAGGGCTTCCCACAGGCCAGATTAACTCTTCTGGAGTCCCAGGGTAAGTAAATTTTGTGAGCCCCTCTAGGCTATGGGGTAGGACCAAAAATGAAGGGTTCAATGTATGGGAGGGAGTTGCCAGGGAATGGGATAGGGATAAGGGTGTAAGAGGGGATTAAGGGTGAGAGGTCTGGCCTGAAAGTTTGGGTGCAGGAGGCAGGAGTATGTGAGGTCTGGCCAGGAGCCAGGGTGCAGCAGTGGTCCAGGGGTAGGATGTCTGGCCAAGAGGGATTGTGCAGGAACAAGGAAGGGTTCAGGAGTGAGCTTTTGGTGTGGGGTCTCTGTGGGGGGGGGGTATGTGTGTGGGATGAGAGTGCGGAGTCTAGGCATGAGGGGAATGGGGAGAGTTGCTTACTTAGCTTTGTGCCTCCTGCCGCTTCCAGGTGCTACTCCCAGGCACCATATCCAGCTGCTCCCATTGGCCATAATTCCAGCCAATAGGAGCAGTGGGGAAAGCCTCCAGGCAGTGCATCCATATGCTGCCATTACCCCAGTCAGGGGGAGGGGGAGTGGTAGCACATGGAGCCACTTGCTCCCTTGTGAGCAAGATCTAGCAGCAAGGCTCAGGGCTTCCATGTCCCCAACGGAAGCTGGCACTCTAATCTTGTGGTGGGGGAGAGAGTGTGGAGCTGGAGCAGCAGCACAAGCTCCCAACTGCAGAGAGGGTGGGGACTGAGCCTCAAGCCACAGTCAACCTGAAAGATGGCCATGAACCACAAGTAGTCCATGGACCGCAGTTTGAGAACCACTGATTTAGGGAGAGTTCTTGAACAAACTGACTCGCAGACACACAGACATATTCTAACATACATAAAGTCCAGTCCCCTGCCCTCACGGCAGGACCTAGTACCATCCCTCCAAATGTCATTTATTTTGTCATTAGGCAAAAGAAATTTCAGGAGGCTGAGGAAGTTCAAGGTTTTCAGGTAATAGGTAAAACAAACAGGAGCTTACCATTTCAACAACCTCCACCTCAGCATTAAGGCGAAGATGATACAAAAACATCTGAAGGTCCTTTTTCATTTGAATACTGTTGTCGTCCATTTGGGCAACAGTGAAGATACGCATTTTGCATTTTCTCCACACCTATTTAAGGGGAAAGGTATTTTATAATTTTATATGATAAATGTAGCAGTAATTTTGCCCCTCTTATTCTCAATCCTTTAAACAGTTAAGTAAAAATGTTTAAGAATTTATTTAATAATTTTATGTAATGCATAGTGAAAGAAAAGTCATTGCTGTTCATTTTTTAAGAGTTCTCTTTTTGAGCCATGCACTCTACCTTGTGCTGTCGAAGAAGGAAAGGAAGCAACATCAGCATGCCGCCATCATGAACAATCCACCACACATCCATGTTCCCTTCTGAAAAGCGCTCTTGATTTGCTGGGAACAAATCAATGTTTTTAGCAACCAGCAGAGCGTGTTGTGCTGCTGTTGTTTCTCGTACTGTATCTGAGGGAATAAAAAGGACATTCAACAAACAAATCAGAAAATCTGAATGAAAATTGAAGTTGCTGAAGAAGATGGATAAAAATATCCACAATATCACCATTGTGAAACAGGCTTACTTTGGTTAAAAGCTAATCCTGCTTAAGTGAGGAAGCAAAAGCAACAATCTCACACATCCACATTCACACAAAAATAATTAATAATAAAAATTAATGATATTTTCAAAATTGATTGTTTAATTTAAACCTTTAATTTAAATACATTTTTCTTTATAAAATCAAATATGACAATCGATTATAATACCTTAAATTGCTATAATCAATTAAAATAAAAGTACATTAAATTTTAAAAAAACAACCAAACAGTATACGTGTTCTGCTCAAGTTTTAAAGCAAGTCAGACCACAGAACTGGAGGAAGTTGGTGGCTAAACACCTGGAAACATTTTTTGGAGTTAAGCTGACTTTGAAAGTTGTATCTTCTTCACATGTGTGGAACAAATATTATCTTCATTTCAGTTTATTTATTTAAGTCAGTCCAATGACTAATTCATTCAAGTTGAGAAACTAACTGGAAGTTCTAAAAGCAATAAAACTTGTTTCCCTGTTCCACTTTATGAATATAGAGTAAGTACAAGAGGATGAGATCAACAAGTCTGAAAACCTTGACAGGCGTGACTACCAGAAACAATTAGCTCAATTCTCTAACTGTAGATAGTACATTGTTTAATAAACCAATAAGTTTTCAGTGCAAAACATGTTCTGACAAATTTACATTTTTTTCTTTTGTATTCAAAAGATAGTTTTAATTAACTAATAAAAGCATTTGGAAATAATGTTTTTGTTAATTTTAAATTGATTCCAGTTTTCACCCAAAAGCAGCTTGTCACAACTCATGATTAAAAATGTAATCATCATCTAGTAAATACGAAATTTGTCATTCACCATTTTATAATATATAAAAAGTGTTAAAAATAAAAACCTTAATCTATGTTAAACTATGTAACTGCTTAAATAAATGTGTATAGCTACAGGCCACATCTATATTACACATTTTTGTTGATGCAAGTTATATTGGCATTTAGCCGTCAGACTTTGTATACCACTTGTGCATACCTAGCTGCTTGTATTGGCACTATGTGTACTCATGAGGAGTACTTGTGTCAATGCACAGTGTACTTTGTCACAGGTACATTACAGATACATCCAGCATGCTACTTTTTTCATCCCATATAATGCCATCCATATCCCATAATTTTTGTGCTTTTAAAAGAAGATTTCCACTGAGCACTTATTGGTGTCCATCATCTTTAACAGACACATGGAGTCCTGCAGAGCTCTGCACCATTCTCACAAACACTGGAAATACAGGACACACTATACCCCTGTGTTTCAGACCCCAAGAAGTACTGCAAGAATGGGGGATATGATGATTCTTCAAAGATAGTCTGGTCAGGGACACAGCAAACAATAATACAAGATTTTTGGAGGAGTTCACAGAGCCACTGATGACAGTGGAGCAGGAGTTTTGGGCCTGAGAAATGAGCACTGACTGGTGGTTTGCATCACAATTTAGGTATGGGATGACAAGCTGCAGATACAAAAGGTCACATTCACGGATTTATGTGGTAAGCCCATCCCAGCACTGCAGAACAAGGACACCAAAATGACAGCTCCATTGATAGTTGAGAAGCAAGTTGCAATGTTGGATTGCTACTGGTCAGTGGGAAATCATTTTTTAGTCGAAAAATCTAGTGGTGGCCATTGTCATGCAACCCATTAATCATCTCCTACTACACAGGACTATGATTCTTAACAGTGTGCAGGATACAGTGGATGAATTTTCAGCAACTGTGGTTCCCGAAGTGCAATGGGGTGACAGCATATATAATCCCATGTTGGCACACAGTACAACAAAAAAAAGGGCTATTTTACTATGGATACCCAAGTGTTGGTGGATCACCAGGGACACTTCACCAAGATCACTATGAACTGGGCAGGGAAGGTACATGATGCTTACATCTTAAACAAAGGACTAGTCAGACAGTTGCAAGCAGGGACAGTCTTTCCCAACTGGCCATCTACCACTGACAATATGGCAACGTCAATAGTGCTTCTAGGGGACCCCGCCTACCCCTTGTTTCGCTGGCTCATGAACCTGTGCACTGGCTACCTCAATAGTGCCAAGCAATGATTGAACCACCATCTTAGCAGCTGGTGCCCAATGCAGTTGAATGTACTTTTAGTAGACTGAAGGGACACTGAAGATGTTCACTCCCTGCACTGAATCTCAGTGACAAAAATATCTCAGTGGTTATTACTGTTTGTTATGTCCTGAATAATAAGCATGGGTATGTCTACACTTCCACCCTAGTTCGAACTAGGGTGGTTAATGTAGTCAATCGAAGTTGCAAATGAAGCCTGAGATTTAAATATCCCGGGCTTCATTTGCATCTTGCCGAGCGCCGCCATTTTTAAATCCCCGGTAGTTCGGACTCCGTGCCCGTGGCTACACGCGGCACGGAGTAGGTAGTTCGAATTTGGCTTTTTTTTTTTATAGGCTATGATATCGATCATTTGGTAAGCAGGTCCCATGAAACAAAAATTCATTTTAACAAACCCAAATGTAAATGTATACATGTATGAACAAAGAACGTTGGCTAGACCTACAGAATGAATGACTGCCATAATAGTATATCAATATTTGTCTCACCAGTAGTTTACAAAAATAAATCACATACCTACTTCTGTTTATTTCTCCTTGTTTTATAAGGAAGGACTGTGTTAGCCCTTTCTGCCACAGCATCACACTGAAAGCTCCTGTTCAGTTGTTTGTCGACCAATACTCCGTTTCAGAATCACTTTTTTCCAAGATTTGTGGCATACAGTATTGTTGTAACAGTGTAAGTTCCAGGGTATTAGCAAAATAAAGTGAGTGATACAATATCTTTTATTGGATCAATTTCTGTTGGTGAAAAACAGAAGCTTTTGAGATAATGGAGATTCCCTCTCACCAACAGATGTTGGTCCAAAAAATATATATATTATCTCACCAAACTTGTCTCTGCTTTTTAGAAGACAGTCATTCATTCTGTTGGTATGGCTGTAGAATAAAAGGACAAAAGGTCTGGCTTTCTATAGAATCTGCCTGGACAGATCTTCTCAGAAACTAGACTACTGGTTCCTTGGTCCATATTGGATTCAGTGACAAGTGAACCCAGTCATCTTGGAGCTCCAGCACACTCACAGTCCCTTAAGAGTACACCCTGTATTCTGCATTTCACTTCTAAAACCTTACATTGAGAACATATTTCCCAATACAACCCAATCACTGCTCCCACCAGTACAAGTATGAAGTTAGGAGGAATACATTGTCCACAAAGTCCTCAATTCTCAGATAAGTGTGGCAAGTAATGGTACCTAATTGACTGATTGAGAAGATTTTGCCAGAGGCTGGCACATGGAAGAAAACATTCATACTCCTGCCCTGGTTTAGGTCTTCTATAGGAATCACCCTGAGAAACCTGGACTCATGTCTCCTAGAGGGTGCCCATAGGAGAGAGGGGTGATGTCATGACCAATGGATTGTGAAGACCAAAACTGAATTAAAAAGAGAGTAAGATGAGTTAATGAAGGACAGGTCAATTAACAGCTATTAACCATGATAGCGAGGGATTCAACCCCATGTTGTCAGTGTCCGTAGCCTCTGACTACCAGAGTTGGGAGTGGACAATAGGGAATGGATCACTTGATGATTGCTGGTTCTGTTCATTCCCTTTGAAAGACCTGGCATTGGCCACTGTCAGAAGACAAGATACTGGGCTAGATGGACCATTGATCCAACCCAGTATAATAATTTTTCATGTTTTCATGAGGATTGAACCCAGAGCTGCAGGATTCACATGAGCAATTTTGCTTCAAACCTCTACCTGGCTGCCTGCTCACAACTACTTACCTACGATCCATGAAGACCAGTCCCAGTTTAAGATTTTTCCTGTGAAGTCCTACTAGTGGAGTCCAAGAACAGCTAAGTGGCCTGCTTACCTTCTTTAAGCCAGTAGCAAAAGTGGGAAGCTTTCAGAACAGCTGGACTATTTCCTATTTTGGACTGTATGCCTTATGCATCCTGCTCCCCCTCCTGCAGCTTGATTTTCTGTCACCCTAGTATCTGATTCATGGTTTTTGTTTCCTATTTTCCTCCTGCCTTTGACCCTCTGGTAGCCTGACTTCTCATTTGCTGGTATCCTCAGTTATCTGATTCTCAACTCCTGTTTCATCAGCTTCTGGTTCCAAACACTAGGTCTGGCTGCCCATGACCCAGCTATGAGACCATCTACATGTTTTGTTAATCTTTACGGTGCTACTAGTCTATTTGTTGTTTTTAAAGTTTTTCCTGTTACAGACTTACGCAGCTACCCTTCTGAAACTAATAATATTCTCATTCTTTAATTTCCTGTATCATTTTTTTCCATTATTTTGTCTGGCGTTGATATCACATTATAACATATCTGTAATTGCCTGGGTCAAGCCATATGCTCTTTTTTAACATTATTAGTCTTCTAGATTTTCCTTCCTTGAACTGATAGATCACTGCAGCTCTGTCACTCTGCGGCTTTAGATGACTCATTTGTGTGTATGTGTTGGCTTGCTTTAACCGGTAACATAACTCTCATTTCTTTTTCATATTTAATAAGCCTTTAAATAGTTTATTTCAAGTCTGGACACAGGCACTGTCTTTGGTGTAATATACAGGTACCAATTTATCTGTTGGGACTGGTAGCAACCTGACCATGGTGTGATTTCTGAAGTAAGTGGCCATTTTTACTAGTAGGTCTAGTTTGGGGAGCAAGAAAGACTAGAGAGTCTAAGGGGACAGTCTGTAATTCCACGTTAAGATTGCTAGAGGGATCCATAAATTCAAATGTGTTACTGGCTTTGAGAAATCACTTGTAGAACATACCTACAGTCTGGGTTGTCTGCCCTGTTTTTGACAGTTTTCCCCAAAGTAGGCACTTATGGTCAGGAGCCACTCCAAATAGTGCAAAAGGAGGCTGTAACGTAGCACCCTCATATTTTTATGGAAATATGTTTTGAATATGAATATGCATAGCTCAAATATGCTTTATGAAAAATGTGGCATTGAAAAGCTTGTAATCTGCTGACTGTGTAGATTCTATGTGTGTGTGTATGTGTAGTTCTTGCATGTGAAGTTAGAAATATGAAATACAAACCCATTTAGGTATCTAGATGTGCTAGAACTTAATTGCCCAGTGCTCAAGACAATGATTTGTGAATAGTCTTGTTTTTCTTATAAACCTGGACTATGTTGGTCCTACAAAGAAAGCCCCATGCTACCTAGTGCTGAAATCCATCTTGAATTTGGTACTTTTCCATGGAGTGGTAGGAACAAAGACTTCCCACCCTGGGGATATTCTAACAAGGAATGGGAAACAAACAAACATTGTCTTCAGCTAGCTTCACAGAACGCTCCCCACCCCAAGAGGATACATGAAAAGACCTGGAAACAAAAGAACTCTAACGGGGGTGGAGATGAGCTGCTGGACTCAGGTCAGAAAGAACAGTTCTGGGTCTGAAAAAGACTAAATCTGAAATAAGAACCAGGTTGAGAAATTATGATTTCTAACAACTTCTCTTAGTATATTAGTCTTAGATGGCATGTTTTGTTTTAGTTTCGTTTAGTCACTTACTTTGGATTTGTCTGTTATCACTTGTAATCACTTAAATCCTACTTTTTATATTTAATAAAATCACTTTTGTTTATGATTAATCCCAGTTTAAATAATTGATACTGGAGAGAGGGGTCTAACAGCAATGCTTATCTCTCTTTTACTAATAAAGGGGGTTAACTTTATGAGCTTGCTCTGTGTAAACCTTTTATGAAGAGTAAGATGCATTTATCTAGGATTTTGATCCCATTGAGTGCTGTGTCAAGTTCCTTAGCTGAGCTGTTCTCAGTGTCTGTGTTGCTGTTACCCCAACTGTATGCCTTGGCTAGGGGAAACCAGAGCTTCTGGTTCAACAGAACAGGATAGTGGATGCCCCAGAGGACAGGTGGGCAGGCTTAGTGGTATGATCAGCCCATCAGGTGACAGTCTCAAGGGAATCTCTGTGACCCAACCTGACACAAAGGCAATATTAATAGCATGAAGAAAAAGTATAGTTGCAATGGGGAAAATGGCAGAAGCTTTACATTAAATAAAACAGATTTCATAATGTGATTATTATTTCTGAAGTTTGTCTATATATTTATTTTGTCCAAGGAAGAATTACTGTTTGTAAGAGACACAAGCTTTTGAGCCGCACAGTGCTATTCTTTAGGTCTGGGAAAGGTACTCCCAGACTTAAAGAAGAGCTCTGCACAGCATGAAAGCATCTCTTTCTCACCAATAGAAGTTGCCTCTCTAAAAGACATTACTTCAGCCACCTTGTCTCCTATATCCTGGGACCGAAACAACTACAATTACATTATATAAGAAGGGATGTATGTAGGATTTAGTTATAACTTACATGATTTACAGAGGAAAAATAATAGAAGGCAGCAAACATTTCCAGAAGGTCTTGTGGAAATCTAAGTAACTGTTCAAATTTGAATAATGTATGCTGCAGACTACAGACTAGACCTTCAAACATGATATTTGTGTGGTCACTGCTTAAGAGACTTGACACCTTTTAATTCTTTTGAAGTTAGACTTAGAAGGTGAAATATGTTATGAAAAAGATAATTCCTGTGTTGAAATGTGAATTTTTACAATTAATATTAATAAGGATAAGCATTTGTATAATTTAAATAATTACATTTTAATGTTATGTTAGTAACAGCTCCCATTGGCTGCAGCCAAAGCCATGCCGCTTCCCGCAGCTCCCCTTGGCAGGAAATGGCAAACCACAGCCAGTGGGAGCTGAGGCTCTGTGGCTATGGACACTTGAATAATCCAAGTGTTGCAGGTCTGCCAGTGGCTTAGGGTCACGGGCCTGCCTGGGTAAGTTTGAAAAAAATATTTTTTTCCTAGCACCAGAATTTAATAATCAGTTCAACAGATAACGCACAAGAAACAACAGAATCCATTTGTTTTCCTCTCTTATTTTTATTGACTCAGCAGGTTAAAAGGAGTAAAGGCTGATAAAAGAATTAGGTAATAATTTGAACGCATACAAGAAGTAAATTCCTTGAATAAGAAGGGGCCAATTGTATCATTATTTAAGCTAAACTTGTCACACATAGGAGCCTGAAATTGGGCTCTAAAGTCCATATTTTGAGATCTAAATAAAGTGTGCTGATTTTCAAAAGTGCTGTGCACCTACCAGTTTTCATTCATCTCGATGGGAGTAATAGCCTATTATTTCCACACTCTTTGGGTTAAAGTATAACTGCATATAAATTACTTACATTTTACAAAATAACATTTAAAACACATTGTCATTATATATTTTCAATAAAATGGCATTAACAAAACCAAAGGGATACATACCAACAAAGTTTTTCCATGAGAAAGGATTATCTGTCTGTTTCCATGACTGTGGCCAGCCCATCAGGACTGTATTATGAGTCATCCCTCCCAGACCAGCAGACTGAATCAAATGGGACATTCCAGCTCTAAGACTGGGAGACACCACGATCTGGCAAAATCCTTTGGTCTTTTCTAGACTCATTAAGGACTTAACATTCTGTGAAAAATAAGAAATTGAAGATTATAGGTGGAAATATATTAAAGGAAATAATTATAAATACCATAGTTAATTGTTGCACTAAAGTACTGATAAAATGCTGTACACTGGCTGGAATATGACAATAAGGAACATTGTTTTGCTCTTTCAACATAATGAATGAACAAGTAGTATGAGAACTACAACCCAAGTTTTTACATCATTCTGTGTACATATAACCCAAACACCTTCTGGGTGCGCTGTACTGTCCTATGCAGTGGCACTTAGACCATTTACAGAGAGAAGAAATGAGTGTTTTTTACAGCCTTAGCCTAAGCTGGCTTTTCGCTCAAACTGTGGAGCAGGGGTTGGCAACCTTTTCAAATCAAAGAGCCAAACTACATCAAGATTCAGAACAAGTGGTCAACAAAGAGCTATATAAGAATGAGTTGAATGACTGAAAATATACAACTTAATATTATTGATAATTGACATGATGATTAATAATAGCATAAACGAAACATTGTACTCTCAGACTTTATTTAATAGGACTTTTGCTGCTGCCGGGGGTGCAGGAGTCAGTGTATGAGAGGCTCACGGCAGAGGTTGGGGTGTGTGGGAGGTGTAGGGGTGGGAAATAGAGTATGGGGGGAAGGGCCTCTGGAGCCAGATTCCCTTACCTGACCAGGGCTGGGCTGCTGCACACAGGCTGCAGTGGCTGGACAAGGGGCCAGGCCAGGATTGCCACAGCGGGATTGCGGCCTTCCCTCCTACCCATGCCACAGCAGGAGGGGGGCTGCCACGGACAGCCCTTCCTGTGGCCAGATGGGATCTAGACCACTGGGCCTGCCCCAGGATCAGGGCTGGGGACCAGACACTGCAGGCAGATGGGGTTTTGTTGGCCACGCTTCGTTTTAAATAAAGTAAAATAGTATGTCCAACACAAAGGTTTCAACATTGTCTTTATTTATGGCAGGGATGGGAAACCTTTTTTGGGTCAGGGGGCTACTGACCAGAGAAAAATCAGTCAGGGATCACACAAATAATAATAATTAAAAAAACCCTCCAAAATCCCCTAATTGAAACACCTCACTTCCCTGGTGCTTGAGTCCCATGGTGGTGGGGGGAGGGGGCAGGGAGAAATGAGGTTCAAGGCCTCGGGCCAGATTAAGTCTTCTGTGGTTCCAGGGTTAGTGGATTTTGTGCCTCCCCACCCTGGCTCTGGGCTGGGGCCAAAAATAAGGGGTTCAGTTATGGAATAGGGCTGCCAGTGAGTGGAACAGGGATGGGGTGTAGGATCTCGGCAGAAGGTAGGGTGTAGGGGGGTGAGGTCAGGATGGGAGGTAAGGTGCAGGAGCAGGCTGAGAGTAGGGTGTCTGGCCAGAGGAAGTGGGCAGGAGTAAGGGAGGGTACAGAGACTGGCTAGGAGGGAGGGTGAAGGAGCTAGGGATGGTGTATGATTAGTCTGAAAGGAGGGTGTCTGGTCATGGGGGAGGGAGGATGCAGGACCAGGCTGAGGGCAGGGTGTCTGTCCAGGGGGGAGGATGCAGGAGCAGGGTGGAGGTAGGTGTCTGGCCAGGGGGGAGGGTGCAGGAGCAGGCTGGGGGTAGGTGTCTGTCCAGGGGAGAGGGAGCAGAAGCAGGGTGTGGGTGGGGGGTCTTGGCAGGGGAGGGGGCCATGAAGTGCTGGTGGTGCCAGGTCTGGGCATGAGGGGCTGGAGGGGCACTTATTTGTTTTCATGCCAAATTCTGCTCCCAAGC